GGAAATTGGGAGCATGAAGCTGAATGGCAATGTTTCACATCTTCATTCCGTTAGCACTGTGTGGGAAAGCAAGACAGTCATCCAGGACGGGAGAGTGGGACGATGGCAGACAGGTGCTACAGGTGCAAAAACCCACTGCAGCATGCTCCACATCACCATACTGAACTGCTGCGGAGGAGAGTGACTCCCTTCCATTCTTTCCTATCAGAGTCCCTGGTGCCATGTCACAAGTAGGGCCATTATAGATTCTTATAGAAGTCATAGAACGATAGAATCATAGAATTGCTCAGGTTGGAAAAGACCTTTAAGTTCATTAAGTCTAACCGCAACCTGACCATACTATCCTAACTAACAACCCTCCTCTAAACCATGTCGCTGAGCACCACATCCAAATGGTTTTAAATACATCCTGGGATGGTGACTCAACCACCTCCCTTGGGAGCCTATTCCAGTGCTTAACCACACTTTCTGCAAAGTTTTTCCTGATATCCAACCTAAACCTCCCGTGGTTTAGCTTAAGGCCATTTCCCCTCATTCTCTCACCTGTTACCAGTGAGAGCAGCCCCGCTCTTGCTCCAATCACCTTTCAGGTATTTGAAGAGAGTAATAAGGTCTCCCCTCAGCCTCCTCTTCCCCAGACTAAACAGCCCCAGTTCCTTCAGTCTCTCCTCATAGGCCATATTCTCCAAGCCCTTCACAAGCCTTGCTGCCCTTCTTTGGACCTGCTCCAGCACCTCCATGTCCTTTCTGTAGTGAGGTGCCCAAAACTGATCACAATACTCGAGATGGGGCCTCACCAGTGCCGAGTACAGGGGCAGGATGACGTCCCTAGTCCTGCTCACCACAGCATTCCTCATACAAGCCAGGATGCATTGGCCTTCTTGGCCACCTGGGCACACTGCTGGCTCATATTCAGCCAACCATCCATCAGTACACCAAGGTCCCTTTCTGTCAGGCAGCTTTCCAACCATTCATCCCCAAGCCTGTAAGGCTGCCTGGAGTTGTTGTGACCAAAATGCAGGACCTGACACTTGGCCCTATTGAAACTCACACTGTAATGCCTTTCTCCCCTCTGGCAGATCAACACTCTCTCCCAGCTTGGTATCTTCTGCAAACTTACTGAAGGTACACTCAGTAAGTGTGGAGCAGCACACAGTTCCCTGCAGCCCAGAAGATGCCCATGGTGAAGCAGGCTGTCCACCTGCAGCCCATAGGCAGCACACATAGCAGATGTCCACATGCAGCAGTGGAGGAGCTGATGTTGCAGCAGTAGATGTGGCCTGGAGGAATCCGCAGACCATGGAGAGCCAGCAAAAGTTGACTGTGGGCCGGAGCTGCAGCCCAAGGAGAGGAGTAGGTGGAACCAGGGTGGAGCAGAGGCACAGAGTGATCACAGAGGAGCAGCAGATATGAAATGTTATGGATTGATCACAGCTCCCATTCTCCATTTCCCTATGCTGCTTGAAGGGGAGAAGAAGGGGCTAGGAAGAAGGTGTTTGTAGTTTGCTTTTAGTTCTTGCTGCTCCAGTCTGTTAGCAATAGGCAATAAATCACACTGATTTCCCTATGCTCAAGTCTGTTCTGCCTGCTGTGGTCATAGGTGAGTCACCTCCCTGTCCTCATCTCAGCCCTTGAGCCCACAGTAGAGGGCTGGAACTCAGAGAGATCTGGACAGGCTGGATAGCTGGGCTGAAGCCAATGGGATGAGTTTCAACAAGGCCAAATGACAGGTCCTGCACTTTGGCCACAAGAACCCCAGACAATGCTACAGGCTTGGGGCAGAGTGGCTGGAAGACTGTGTAGAGGAAAGGGACCTGGGGGTATTGATTGATGCTCGGCTGCACATGAGCCGACAGTGTGCCCAGGTGGCCAAGAAGGCCAATGGCATCCTGGCCTGCATCAGGACGGTGTTGCCAGCAGGAACAGGGCAGTGATCATTCCCCTGTACTCAGCTCTGGTGAGGCCGCACCTCGAGTACTGTGTCCAGTTTTGGGCCCCTCACTGCAAGAAAGACACTGAGGCCCTGGAGAGGGTTCAAAGGAGGGCAACAAAGCTGGTGAGGGGTCTGGAACACAGACCTGATGAGGAGCAGCTGAAGGAGCTGGGAATGTTCAGCCTGGAGAAGAGGAGGCTCAGGGGAGACCTCATTGCTCTCTATAACTTCCTGAAGGGAGGTTGTAGTGAGCTGAGGGTCGGCCTCTGCTCTCGTGTCATCAGTGATAGGACCAGAGGGAATGGTTTCAAGCTACGGCAGGGGAGATTCAGGCTGGAAGTTAAGAAATACTACTTCTCTGAAAGAGTGGTCAGGAACTGGAATGGGATGCCCAGGGAGGTGGTGGAGTCACCGACCCTGGAGGTGTTCAAGGAACGTTTGAATTTTGTGTTGAGGGACATGGTTTAGTGAGAGCTATTGGTGATAGATGGATGGTTGGACTGGATGATCCTGTAGATCTTTTCCAACCTTGGTGATTCTATGAAAGATCACAGAATCACAGAATCACAGAATCACCCGGGTTGGAAGGGACCCCAAGGATCATGTAGTTCCAACCCCCCTGCCTAGCAGGGCCACCAAACATACACATTCAGATCAGGTTGCCCAGGACCCCGTCCAACCTGGCCTTAAACACGTCCAAGGACGGGGCATCCACAACCTCCCTGGGCAGCCCGTTCCAGGGCCTAACCACTCTCCTAGTAAAGAACTTCCCCCTAACATCCAACCTAAATCGTCCCTCCTTCAACTTAAAACCATTTCCCCTAGTCCTGCTGTTATCAGCCCTTTTGAAGAGTTTACTCCCCTCCTGGGTGTAGGTTCCCTTCAGGTATTGATAGGCTGCAATGAGGTCACCCCGCAGCCTTCTCTTCTCCAGGCTGAACAAGCCCAACTCCCTCAGCCTGTCCTCATAGGGGAGGTGCTCCAGCCCCCTGATCATCTTAGTCGCCCTCCTCTGGACCCTTTCCAAAATCTCAATGTCTTTCTTGTACTGAGGGCTCCACACCTGGACACAGTATTCCAGATGGGGCCTCACAAGAGCCAAGTAGAGAGGGACAATCACCTCCCTGTCCCTGCTGGCCACCCCTCTCCTGATGGAGCCCAGGATCCCATTTGCCTTTCGAGCTGCCAGAGCGCACTGCTGGCTCATATTCAGTCTCTCGTCCATCAGGACCCCCAGGTCCTTCTCTGCTGAGCTGCTCTCAAGGACCACTCCTCCCAGCCTGTACAGGTGCCTGGGGTTCTTCCGGCCCAAATGCAAAACCTTGCACTTTGCCGTGTTGAACCTCATCAGGTTCACCCGAGCCCAGCCCTCCAGCCTGTCGAGGTCCCTCTGAATGGCATCCCTTCCTTCCACCGTATCAACCGCACCACTCAGCTTGGTGTCGTCAGCAAACTTGCTGAGGGTGCACTCAATTCCCTCATCGATGTCATTAATAAAGATGTTAAAGAGCACCGGTCCCAAGACAGACCCTTGGGGGACACCACTTGTTACCGGCCTCCACCTGGACATAGAGCCATTGACCACCACCCTCTGTCTGCGGCCTTTCAACCAATTGCTTATCCATCGGGTCGTCCACCCATCAAATCCACTTCCCTCCAATTTGGAGATGAGGATGTGGTGGGGGACCATGTCAAAGGCCTTGCTCAGGTCCAGGTAAATGACATCGGTCGCCTTCCCTTCGTCCACCAATGCCGTCACTCCATCATAGAAGGCCACAAGATTAGTTAGGCATGACCTTCCTTTGGTGAAGCCGTGCTGGCTGTCTCGGATCACATGCTCATTCTTTATGTGACCGAGCATGTTGTCCAGGAGGATCTGTTCCATGATCTTCCCAGGCACGGAGGTGAGACTCACCGGCCTGTAGTTCCCCGGGTCCTCCCTGCTCCCCTTCTTGTATATGGGAGTGACATGACCCTTCCTCCAGTCGTTCGGGACCTCACCTGACAGCCACGACTTCTCAAATATGATGGAGAGCGGCTCGGCAACCACCTCAGCCAGCTCCTTCAGGACCCTGGGATGCACGCCATCCGGCCCCATAGACTTGTATTCATTCAGTCTAAGGAGGCACTCTCGGACTTGCTCTGCCCTTACAGTGGGGAGGGATTTACCTCCTTGGTCCCCACATAGAGGTTTGGTGATGCAGGGTTCAGGGACGTGAAAAAGACTAGAATCCTGGCCACCAGTGAAGACCGAGGTGAAGAACTCATTCAGCACCTCAGCTTTCTCTTCATCTGTTGAAGCCAGTTCTCCTTTTAAATTTACCAAAGTAGGTACGCCCATTTTGGCCTGTCTCTTCTGGGCAATGTACCTGTAGAAGGTTTTCTTACTGTTTTTCACGTCCCTTGCCAAGTTCAGTTCTGCCTGCGCCTTGGCTTCCCTGATCCCACGTCTGCAAGTCCGGACGGCATTCCTGTACTCTTCCCAGGTGACACAGCCTTGTTTCCAGAGCTTGTACACCCGTTTCTTCGCCCTCAGTTCTCTCAGCAGGTCCTTGCTGAGCCAAGCCGGTTTCCTACCTCGCCTGCCCACTTTCTTATTCAGAGGAATGGAGACCTCTTGTGCTTCCAGGAGGGCATCTTTGAAGAGCCGCCAGCTCTCCTCAACATCCTTGTCTTTGAGGGCAGCGCGCCAGGGGATCTTGGCCAGCAATCCATTGAGTAGCTTGAAGTCTGCTCTTCTGAAGTTCAGTGTCCTGGTCCTGATCTTTAAAGATCTTTAAAGTCCCTTCCAATCCCAGCTGTTCTATGAGCCTACAATATTTACTCCCTCTCTTCCTTAAAGAGTGGCAGTGAAAGAGCCTCCCACAAGCATTAAGCTGCCACAACCCCACCCTCTGCGAACTACATTTCCCAGAAGGCCTTGCGCCCGATCGGCGGAAAACGCAGTCCTTGCGAGCTGGCGCTCTCCCTTCCGATTGGTGCTCTGGGGGAGTCCGCCGAGCGGCCATTGGCTGCGGGGGTCACGTGAGGCGGGGACGCTCGGAGGGCACCAGACGCGCCCGGCCGCTGCCATGCTGGGGACGCGGGACGGGTGGAGAGCCCTCCGCCGCTGCTTCTCTTCACTGCCGCGGGAGCAGCGGGTTCCGGCGGCTCGGCTGCGGGTCCGGGAGGCGTTGGGGGCCCGGGAAACAGCGGGCAAAGTGAAGGTGCAGGTGTGTGGCGGCGGCGTAGCGACTCCCAGGCGGTAACGCGACCTGCGGCCGGAGAGAAAGGGAGCGGAGCCACCAGGTCCTTAGCTTCGGAGTTGAGGGCTTTAGTTTTAGCGTTTTGTAAAACTGTCTGGTCCCCTTCGCCGTCCGGCTCTGTCATCCCTGATCGCTTGGTGATCGTTAGATAGGATTCGAAGCTTTGCGATTACCCCGCAGGTGTGCAGGGAACGGCAGTTCCTATAGCAGATTACACTGACGAATAGCAGCACGTCCACGTGTCCCCACACTTGGATGCTAGGAAGACATTCCTTGCTGTGAAGGTGGTGAGACACTGGCACGGGTTGCCCAGAGAGGTTGTGGATGCCCCACTATAGAGGCATTCATAGCCAGGCTGGATGGGGCTGCAAGCAGCCTGGTCTACCACGAGACCAGGTCTACCTACGAGAGTTGCCCTGTCTATGGCAGGGGAGTTGGAACTCTATCATCTTCAAGGTCCCTTCCAATCCAAACCATTCAATGATTATGTACAGCCTAATAGAGAAGGAAGGAGCTTAATACAGGTGCTTCTCATCTGTAGTTTTATGAATTATGCATTCTAGAATAAGATGCTGCTAATATTGGCAGTACTTCCTTTTTGTTTCCTTGATTCTTTGTTGTCTTTCCCTTGTGTTGACATGTGTGCTTTTGCATTAAGCTGGGCCGGAGAACTGATCTGGCTTAAAATGATCCTTATTGTGAGTAGTTTTAGTTACTGGAAGTTGCAGTCTGATCTGAATTGAGACTGGCACTCAGCAGTGCTTCTGATAGGGTATGAAGTGGTCCAAAAACTTATGCTACAGCCTCTGCTGCTCTGTTGTAAGCCTGAGGGCACACTGATATTTTCCTGTGGGAGGCTGGAAGACTCATCTTGTTTAACAAATCCTGGTGCTGCTTGAGGTAGAAAAAAGCCATCAAGAACGTTTCTTTGGGGTTTTTTTATGTCCTTGCAAGGAAGGAAACTAAGAAAAACATCTACCGTTATTTATCATGTACCTGTCTGGGGGTTTTACTGGAATACACGAGACAGGCACAGCAGCCTCAGGAATGTTATTGTACAAAACACCTTGTACAAAACATATGAGGATGCCATGCCAGATAATCAAACTTTTGTTTTGGACTTAGTTTTCTTCTTTTTTTTTTTTTTTTTTTTTTTTGCATTAACACTGCTTCAAGTGGAACCACCTGCAGAGGATGCTCAGGTGGTAAACATGTATCTGAATTTGTGAGGCTGAAAGAAAGGCTGAATTTTTGGTAATCCTTAGTTTTATGGCATAAACTTCTTTCACATTTCTTACATGCACCTGCCCTGCACACTTTGGCAGGTGTTTCCTGTGCAGGAGATTTGAGGGTTCTGCAGAATTATCATAATGTGAGCAGGAAACTTCCCAGTGGACAGGTTTTGTTATAAGAGCAGCTTTGTCTTAGCTCTGGTGAGGTGAGGAGCTGCTAGGGGAGTTGCATTTTGGATGCCTTGCATTTCATAGGATCATAGAATCACAGAATGGCCCGGGTCAGAAGGAACCTCAAGGATCATGAAGCTCCAACCCCCTGCCACAGGCAGGGCCACCAACCTACACATTTAATCCTAGGCCAGGCTGCCCAGGGTCCCATGCAGTCTGGCCTCCAGGGACGGGGCACCTCCAGGGACGGGGCATCCACAACCTCTCTGGGCAGCTGTTCCAGCACCTCACCACTCTCATAGTAAAGAACTTCTCCCTGGCATCCAACCTAAATCTTCTTTCCTTCAACTTAAAACCATTTCCCCTTGTTCTGCTGTTATCTACCCTTTCTAAGTGCTGATTCCCTTCCTGTTTGTAGGCTCCCTTTAGGTACTGAAAGACTGCAATGAGGTCACTCCACAGCCTTCTTCAAGCCCAGTTCCCCCAGTCTGTCTTTGTATGAGAGGTGCTCCAGCCTTCTGATCATCTTTGTGGCTCTCCTCTGGACCCTCTCCAACAGCTCCCTGTCTTTCTTGTACTAGGGGCCCCAGACCTGGACACAGTGCTCCAGGTGGTGCCTCACAAAGGCACAGTAGTGAGGGACAGTCACCTCCCTGTCCCTGCTGGCCACCCCTCTTTGATGGAGCCCAGGATACCATTTGCTTTCTGAGCTGCAAGAGCTCACTGCTGGCTCACGTTCTGTTTTTTCATCCATCAGGACCCCAGGTCCTTCTCTGCAAGGCTGTTCTCAAGGATTGCTACTTCCAGTCTGTATACATGCCCGGGATTCCTCCTGCCTAAGTGCAGAACGTTGCATTTAGTTGTGTTTTGCTTGGTGTCTTGGCACATTTTAGATTATTTTATTTCATATTTCATTTCCTAAAATGCATCATAGAATTGCAGACTGATTTGGGCTGGAAGGGGCCTTCAGCCCATCTGTTCCTGGCCTCTGCTACAGACAGGATTCCTTTCACCAGATCAAGCTACCCACAGCCCCATCCAGCCTGTCCTTGGGCACTCCCAGGGATGGGGCAGTCAGAATTTCTTCCTTATACCCAATCTAAATCTATCTTCTTTCAGTCTACATCTGGTTGCCCCTTGTCCTGTCACTCTTTCTTATGAGCCCCTTCTATATATTGGAAGGCCACAGAAAGATCCCCCTGGAGCCCTGTCCAGGTGGAACAATCCTCATTTCCACAACCTCTATGCATCTCTTACTGAACCACTGACTTAATTCTTTGGTTCAAAATGGCTAAGAATGTTTTTTTGCTTGTTTTTCAATGGGGGCAGCATGGCAATATTGATTTTTAAGGCATAAAGAGAAACATGAAGAAGTGTCAGAGTTTTAATTTTCATTTTTACGTTGCATGAATTGGCTGTAGTGTCATTGTTTCAGTAGTCCAGTGGCTATGGGCATATAATCAAAAACAACTAGTGAACCATTTCCAATTGGAACCTAAATACAGGCGCTGCTGCAACAAAGATTGGTACTAACTTTGTCAAAATAGCCTGGAGTATTTTCACTTAAAGCACTGTGCATTCCTGCACAGCTGCAATAAAGATGCTCGTGAGGGAAATAACTAATAGAAATGTGTACGTTGCTAAAATGCTTTTCATCTTCAAAGCACTCTGCCAGTTTCGTTATTCTAAGCTGCACAGAGATGCAGGTAGATCTTAGTTATGCTTGCTTTACTCCTGGGGAGAGCTGATGTCTCTGCCTAAGGTTTTGTTGCTATTTGCTTTGAAGTGAATAGAAAAAAATGACATTGTTGGGTTGTTGTTGTTTTTTTTCCAACTTCCTCATAGAGAAATATTTCCTTTGATTTCAATGAAAAGCTGAAATAGGCCTGCTGTGGCGTGTCCAGCTCTTCGGGGGAGGGGAAGAAAACAACAAAAAGAAACATGATTATATGGAACTGATGACAAGAAATAACGAATTTCTTTTTCTTTTACCTTTAGGGCTGGGTCCGCTCCGTCCGATCCCAGAAGGAGGTTTTGTTCCTGCATGTAAATGATGGGAGCTCTCTGGAAAGCCTCCAGGTGGTTGCTGATCCCAGTCTGGAGTGTAGGTGAGTCAGTTTGCGATACCTGGGGAAATATGTGTGTTGATCAATGCTCAGAGGGGTCTCCTGAGACCTCCTTTCTTGGGCCACAGTGCTGGAGGAGCCTCCAGCAGCTGGCACCTGATCATAGGAAAGAAACAGCTGCAGTTTGAGGTCCCTGGTTGTGTTTTTTCAGGTAGAGCAGTGGCTTTGGGGTTCAGCTGCTTGTCCTGTCAGATTAATTTGGATCTCACTTTCTTGGTAGCTGTAGTAGTGTGGGTGTTCTGGACTACTGTTGGACCTGCTTGGAAATTGCACTCTGTTTTTGAGGATGAATGTTCTTCAGGTTTTTGATGACCACTGTTGTTCTTACTGTGCTGATTGAGAGATGGCTGGGTAGGCATACTTCCTAGATGGGCATGCCTGTTCTGTTGTCAGATGATAATAGAATAATGCACTTGATTTTCAGCTTCATTTTGTTACTGTCAGTTGTACTTTGGGGGTTTCATGACAGTCCAGGAACCTTCTGTGCATTACTTGATGTGTTTTATTTTTGTTACAAGCTTCATTTGTCCACATCAATGTGTTCTTATAAAAACCCATGTTCCTCTCTCTTCTCCAACACTCCAGTGTCCTAAATTGTTCTAGTGTGAATTTATTCTCATTTCATAGAATCATAGAATAGCCTGGGTTGAAAAGAACCTCAAAGATCATCTAGTTTCAATCCCCTGCTATGTGCAGGGTTGCCAACTATCAGACTAGGCTGCCCAGAGGCACATCCAGCCTGGCCTTGAATGCCTCCAGGGTTGGGGCATCCACAGCCTCCTTGAGCAACCTGTTTCAGTGTGTCACCACCCTCTGTGTGATAAACTTCCTCCTAATATCTAATCTAAACCAAATCTAACTTGCTGTTAAATTGTTATTGCCTTTGTATTAACAGCTGATGAATTGTTGTTGCTTCTGTTTTCGTAGAGACCTGACTTTTGGAAGTGCAGTGGAAGTGCAAGGGAAACTGGTCAAAAGCCCTCACAAGATGCAAGATATGGAGCTGCAAGCTGAAGCCATTCATGTGGTGGGACCTTGTGATACTTTGGTATGTCACTGCAGCAGGGAGTCCAACTGGTAGGAGCACTTTGGGAATGAAAGCCAAAATGCCCAACTGTCCAGTAGAGTGTGCTTCAAACTGTGCTGTTTGTTTGTTTTCCAACTCAGTATGCCTGCAGACTTTGATTTGGCTGCAGTGTATGTAGGGTGCATCATTTGAGGAAAAAAATTGATAGGAATGCCTTGAATGCTCTCCTCTGGGGCAGTGCTGTTCCTATGTGGAAACAGGTGCAAATGTTGGCAGCTGAATGAGTGCATTTGTCCCACCCTGAAGCAGTTTTCTGGGCTACGTGGTTTACCTGGTAACTCTAGCCAAGAATCAGGGAAGCAATGAATCTGGCTAACTGCTCCAGATTGTGAAGGCAGAAGAATCTGCTGCAAGCATGTTTGGGAACAGCTCGCTATTGCAGCAGTGAGTTGAACAGTTGACTTTCAAGGGGCTCAACTTCCAAAAGATGAAGCATTTCAGAGTGCTGCTACTTTTCTTCTGTTCATGGCGTAGAAAAACTTAAAAAATGAAATATACATCCACAAAGTACTAGAGAAGATGAGGAAAAAATGCTTTTCCCCTCTCTTTGCTCTGTAATGGTGATTGAGTTTTAGAATGTGGAGATTGCTATTCCATGCATGGCAGTAAAGATGTACTGACTCCATATTCTCATCGTCTTGTGTTTTTTGGCTTGTTGCTTTTAGTCATTCCCCTTCAAAATAAAGGAGAGGCACCCACTGGAGTATGTCCGACAGTTCCCACACTTGCGATGCAGAAGCAATGCACTTGGAGCCCTCCTGAGAATCCGCAGTGAAGCCACGGCAGCAATCCACTCATTCTTCCAGGTAGTCCTCACTGTCCTGAGCTTTATATGTAAACCACTACCTGGGCTAGGCCTCACAGGAACATGTTAAGAGGAAAGGGCCATCATATGTTTGCTGCATGGAGGTGTTTTTTCAGGTCTGGCCAGACTGAGATCTTGACCAGGGTATTGCTGATGGTGAGGTTTGCACATTGGTGGTCTTTTCAGTGTCTTTCCACCTGTTTTCCTGTTATTTTTATCCCTTTTGCTTAGTTGCAGTATAATTGCCTGCAACTGTGTGTGGTCTGTAAAACACAGCATAATAAGGAATTATTTAATTCACTCTCAGCAGTGACCTTGGGCAGTAGCCTCCTCCTACGTGAAAATATCTGTGATACTGGAAAGCAACAGACAAACAGACTCAAATCTTCATGTTATTGCTGTCAATTCTTTTTATCTCTCTATGCAAGTCTGTGTGGATACTGTTAGCTGAGATTAAGAAGCTTCTGTTTTAATGCTTTTCAAACTGATGGAGTGTAAACACCTATATTTCATGAATGTATCCCCATCCTCAAGCTGTGGGCAGGGTGTAGGCAGTGAATTAACTCTAATTCCAGATGCTGTACAGAGACCATGCGAGTACGTAAAGTCAGAAGGCAAGTCCTCTAGCAAACTGGAGCTCTTTCTTTTACAGCTATTCTTTGCGTTTCAGTTGAAGTAAACTGGCTGTAGCTGGTGTAGAATCATATGCACAGCATTCCTATTATTATAGAAAGTCTGAAAGAACGGATTGGAATTGTTGAGGTTGAATTTCTGGTCCAGAGTGTGCGCTTACTTTCTGCTTGTAGTGACAAAGAAAGCGTGCTTGCTCACTCAGAGACTTGTCTATATGAAGTTGTGTGGTATTTTGAAGATTGTGTTTTAAGAGCTTAATAGTTATATCGTGTCAGTTAAAGCTGCTGTTAGTTTCAGCATTGTGCCTACTCATAACACAGAACGTGACTTTGCTGGGAGTTGGTCTCTGCTGGTTTTGAGCCACTAGATGGCAATACCTACAAAACTTTGTCATTTCAAACCTGGCAAGGAAGCCAGCTGATACCAAAAAGCATCATATTCTGATAAAGGCTTTACTTCTCCAACTTAATCCCAGCTGAGGCTGATGTATTTCTGTTTAAACTGCTCAGAATTATTGCAAAATGTGAAGTATTTTATCATCAGCAGCTACAGTAAAGTTAAGAGATGAGGAGAAGATGAGTACTGCTATTTGCAAATGCTGATGTCACGACTCCTAGCACCAAGGATGGCTGTAGCTTTTTTCAATTCTGATGGAAGGAAAGCATTCCCTTTAAATTGCCACCTACATCATCCCAAAAATGCTGCAGTTTCAAACTCGATGTTGTCAGGTTGTATGATTGCTGGGAAGTATAGCCACAGCCTTTTTGCTCTGCAGGGCTGTAGGGAGGTTTTCTGACCTTTGCAGGTCACGCAGAAGTTCCCTTAGGTGCTTTGGAAAGGAGTTTGAAACATGTATCATCTCTCATGTGGTATAAACAGTTGCTGTAAAAAAGAAAAAGAAGAAAAAAAAAGGGGGAGGGGGGTGTATTCTGAAGTCTTAAGGGGCAGTGAGAGGACCCATGACCAGCAGGTCTCCAGAATATGCATGGGGATACAGGAGAGAGCTGCACTTTGTATTGATAGGCTAAAAGTTCCTTCCCAGGCAAAGTAAATAGTTGTGCACAGAAAGATGTTTGAAAACCAGTAAGTGGATCTCTGTGAGGATCACCTGGGCAAGCTAAGGTCTTTGCACCTGTAACCAAGGTAGCTTGGAGCTGACTGTGGGGACTTTGCTCTCTCTTGGTTGTGTTAGATTACTTCTACAAAATACACTGCATGTCCATAGGACCGAAGAACTCATAATTCATTTTAGTTTGATTCTCAGTTTGAACATTAAGTCCTATTCCTGTTTTCCTAGTCATTTAACTAGTTGATGATAAGAGTCAGAACTTGTGGTGTGAACTGAATTGTATTACCCTGGCAAAATCTGTGATTCTTAGCTTTTATGAGCACTCTTTATTTGTTTGGTGGTTTTTAGTGTTTTGTGTAAGTAAGATAATGGGTTATGCTTCATCATTGCCTGTATCGTGGTAATGCTGGCACACCCTCATTTTTAGAAGGGTTCCCTTTTACTGGGCATTACAGTGATGCAAGAGAAAACAAGTCCTTGTATTGGAGGCCCTAGAGCTGTATGCAGTACTGCAGGTGTGGCCTCACAGGAGTAAGGTAGAGGGAGACAGTCGCCTTGCTTGACTTGCTGCCACCCTGATCTTGATGCAGACAAGGACACAGTTGGCTTTCTGAGCCACGATCACGCTTTGACAGCTCATTTTGAACTTCTCATCAGCCAGCACCCCTAAGTCCTTCTTCACAGGATTGCTCTCAATACGTTCTCTGCCCAGGTTGTATTTGTGCTTGGACTTGCCTCAACCAAAGTGCAGGACCTTGCATTTGGCCTTTTTCAATTTCAGGGTTCAGACAGACCCACCTTCTAAGCCTGTCTGGGTCTCTTTGGATAGCATCTCTTCCTCCAACGTGTTGACTGCAACGCTCAGCTTGGTGTCTGAGGTGCAAACTTTCTGAGGGTGCAATCAGTCCCAGTGACAAAGATGTTAAACAGCTCTGGGTCCCAGTAATGACCCCTGGGAATGCCACTTATCACTGATCTCTATCTGGGAATCGAGCCATTGACCACAGCTCTTTGTGGCCATCCACCCTTTCCTTATCCAGTAAGTGGTCCATCCATCAGATCCATGTCTTTCCAATTTAGAGGGAGTGTTGTGGAGATGAGCAGTTGCAAATCATGTAGTAGTTGCATAAATCTTTAGGAAATATGGGTGTAAAGCACAAGTAGCATGCTTGGATTTGTAGTCCTCTTGTTTTTGTCCATGAGAGGCAGAAGTTGCCTAAAAGGCTGCACATACTGTCCTGGTTGGGGTCTGATAGCTGAGTCATGATTTGTTCTGGTTGAGATCATCTTTGAAGTTGATACTTGATATCTTCAGCTAGTTAACTTTGCATGTTCTGTCTGTTCCAGGATAATGGCTATGTGCATATTCATACTCCCATAATTACATCAAACGACTGTGAAGGTGCTGGGGAACTCTTTCAAATTGGGGTAAGTTGGAATGGGTAGAGTTTCTTGATCTATTTATTTATTTTACTTCCAGAGCAATTTTGGGATCATTGAAGGTTAGGTGGAGTGTTTGCATAATACCTTTACTCTATATTCTCCTGTGATTATTATTATTTTTTTTTAATATAGCAGTCCTTCAACAAATAACTGGGTCAGAATTAAACAGTTGGATTACTTTTAAAGTCCTGCTTAGTGCGTTAATCAGTACTTTTTGTACTGAGGAGTTACTTTATCCTTGGTGCCCTGAGATAGATTAGTGAGCAGGAAGACATGATAGAGATGTAATGGAACGTTCAGGACAGCCCGATATACAAAAATATTTGTTAGCTCTGAAATTAGGAATGTAATTCACCTTGATTCTTCTCTGCAACCGTGAGATTACTCCTTAAAAGAATGTCAGCAATATCCCAAACTGCTTTTCACACATATATTCCTCGCTACAAATTACTCTTATTGCGTATTGGAATTCTTCCTACTGAAATTGCCTTGTCTCCTGATATTGCTAAGTCTCTCTGTTTGTCCACCAGGCTTCTGCCACAATCTGTCATTTTCTTAAGTACTTGACATCTTGGGTCAAAAGTGCCTGTGAAACTTGTATACAGCTATAAACACTACAGATTCCTCATGATTCCTAATCCCCCCGCGTTCATGAATCACAGGAGGTTCCATCTGCTTTTTATACTTCTATATTTGAAATGTACTTTTCTATCTCAAACAATTACATCCATTGCCACTTATGCTCATTGACTCCAGCCTTGCTGGTGAATCATCTGTAAGCAGAAGTAAAACTGTTGAGGTAGCAGTTGCTTGCTGCAGGATCACGTCTTCCACTCTGCACAGCCTCATGGCAAACAGCCTCCATCTACTCATTCTCCAGGATGTCACTGCCTAACCTGTGCTACTAGTGATTCCCTTCCATATGTGTGCCTCAGCTTTTTGTTTGCTGTGACAATAGAGTTGATTAGCTAAACTAAGTTGTTACTGTTTAATTGAGATCCCTTAACGCTACCAGAGGTTTCCTCCAGGCTGTTGCATGCAAATTAAGATGTGAAAACAAGTGACACTTAATGATGAGAACATTATACAGTGTGCAGCTGTACAGTATATTACGTCTTTGGTACAAATTGTATCCACTTGAAAGCAGGACTGGAGCGTAGGTGGCTGGTAGTAGCAGAAGCACTCATGCAAATGTAGGTTGAGGTGGTAAAATATGAATCTGAAACTTGTATCAACTGGATCTTAACAGTTCAAGATAAAAACTGCTTATCTCTCTCTAGCATGATTGCTCAGGTGTGAAATAGTACCAGTCCTGGGGAAACTGGGCTTGAAAGGAATGGAGTAAGTACTGAGTAATATACCATTGAGTGGTCTGCCCCACAAAGAAGAGCCTTCAGAGAAGTTTTCCCTGATTTATTTCTTCTTTGAGCACTGTTTTATCATTTAGCCTAATTTAGTTAGGGCTTGGTTTCCTTTCTGCAGAGCTCTGCTCAAAGTTGGTCTTGGCTAGCAGAGGTCCAAGACAACTGGCTGTACTGCTGTGACTGCTGCGCTCTGCAGGAACAGCAAGACTGTTCCTTGGCAGTGGAAATCTTGGGGGCATGAATCCTTCCTTGGGAGATGGACAAGTAAATCATGGACATAAGATTATAAGACCAGTCCTCCAGTTGTGAATAGAACATAAATTGATGTCCTATTGCTCCTGAATTAGTAGTAGTAAAATGTACCTGTGCTGACAGTCTGCAAGCAAACAAGGCTGGCTTTTTTGCACTTCTTTTTAATTAATTCCATTGAGCAGATGGGTAGTATCACCAGTTTAGTTATGCTGCTTTGGTTGAAATAAGCTGAAAGCTTTGAGTAGCCTTTAAGACCACAGTAGTTTTAATCCTCTAACTAATGTCTGACCACTGTTCAGACTGCTGTGTTCTTTAGAGATGGTGGAAAGTGAAGAAAGGAAGAGTCAATTTTCACATGAGACTTGGAGAGATGGGAAAGCATTATTGTGAGTTAGAAAGGAAAAGCTTTTTGAAGGCACATGATCTTTGATTCCTAGACCTCTTAATCCTGCAAGATTCATGTTTGTTTATATATTTGGCTTCCTCATCATCTTTGTTTGGTTTTGAGTGAACTGATTAGTCTACGTAGTTTTGGTTGGGATGTTCTCATACTAGGATTTAAGTGAGGGGGAATCCCTTTCACCTCTACTGGGCAAGTCAATTCAAGAAAATATTTTTAAAATGAAATACTGTAAAATTGAAAAGAGAGTGGTAAACAGGAAATCTTAAAAAATAAGTCAGAAAATGGTAAGAACTTCAGAGAAATCATTTGTATTTGAGGGTTTTTTTCTGCAGCTCAAAGAAAACAAATTGAGGAGAAACTGCTGGAAGTTTGAAAACAGCTAGGCAAATCTTAACCTGCATAGAGAACATCAGCAACACCAACCTGCAGATTTCTGCACCTTCGGTAGTGTCATCTGTCTTTGGAACCCTGAAGGCAAGAAGCCTCTTGGCTGTGCCATCTTCCTTGAAGGAAACTTACTGAGAAGTCCAGAAGAGCTTTGAATATTGAGAGGTGTGTTTTAGTGAAATGCAAAGTAGGACAAGGTAATCCTCCAATTGGGGAGAGTTAGGATTAACAAGGTGAGACAGCCCTTTTTATTTTTAATTTAATCACAGAATAATTTCTTTGAGAACCTTAGGGGAGATCCTTTCCTTGTCTTTTTTTTTCTTTTCTACTGAAGTCAAAATCCTTTAAAAGCTTTGTATATCGCAATAAACTTGACCCAGTCTACTTCTGGGGCTGCTCCCTAGGAAATCTGCCTGCCTTTTGTCTTTGTGACCCAGCTGCGTGTCTGTTCCCTGCTATTTTCAGCAGCCTCCCACTCTGTCTGCAATGTTGAAGACTCTGTACATTCTGGGTCTCTTTCTGTCTTTTTGACTTTGCTCTCTGGAAAGTTGCCTTGTTTGACTGTCCTCAGCTGCTGTGGGGAAGTTGCAGTCTCCTCTCCCCTCTGCAAGAGCTTTCCTGACATGGAGTGCTCCGATAAAACCCTGGGCAGCCATATTCCTTGCCACTCAGCCTGTTAAAAGAGCTTTGCAGTCACTTAGCATGACAGTTCAATTGGCATCCACAGCTCTTTGAAGTGTATCTCACCTGTGTCTGGTGTTGCCTGCAGACTTATTCTTTTCTGGAGCAATGTTCTACTGAGAAGAGGTGCAGTCTACATAGTGGCTTCAGTGGAGGTAATATGTTCTCTGTATCAGATTTATCTCTTCCCACACACATACCTCATTGCATTTGTCATCAGTGCTTGACTGATCAGACTAATTCATTAAATGAAGGAATATTTATTTTACTCCAAAACTTGAGAACCATCCAAGTATTGTTCTTCTCCAAAATGTATCCAGAGAGAGTATAGTGTTTGGTTTTTCTTACCACTTGCTCATAGAGAGGAAGTAACTCTGGATCCTTGAAGAGTGAAGTTCATGGCTGTGTGTCCTGTGGAACCAGAAATGTGTGTCTGCTACTGAAATTTACTCCTACCATATTTTCAGTACTTCTGAAAAATAACCCTGTCAGCACCAAGAAAGGCTGGGATCTGCTGGGAAGAGAAGCACAGTTAAATGCAACAGGATTAGCATCCGTCAGGTGTTTCCCCTTCAGAGATGTGTCACAGTCTGGGAGGCAGCCAGTACCTGGGAGCTTGGGACTTCAAGAGAGCTGCTCAGCAGGGCTCAGCATAAGCTGGAACTGAGCTGAGGGAGAGCTTGCTGTCATCTTCCCTGGCTCTCCTGGTTTATGTTTTTCTTTACCTGGCTCTTCACTGTCTGTAATTCCAGTGCAGTTTGTGTGAGATGTTTCTTGCAGTAGAAATAGCTGATGCTGGACTCCCACTGGGCCATAGCAGAATTAGGGCTGGAATTGAAAGAAGGACTTCCTTGAAGTTAAAAATTCTGCGGTTTATCTAAAGAGGAAAACCCACACATGTTTGTAATAGGGCATCACAGAGGGTAGGCTGGATTGAAGTTGTGTTACTGTGAAGCTTCAGCAGTATGCTGTTGTGGGCCTGCTCTAGAGCTAGAGCAGTGATTTCTATGAGCTTTAAAAGTCATCTCCTATCCCTTCATGCTTATGTAGAGTAGAAGAATCAAACGGTTTATACTCTCCTAAAGCAAATTGCCTCAAGTAGAAGTTAATACAAGACTGACATCAAAGTGAATAATTTTAAATTAAATTGTTAGGCATTTGAGAAGGAGAACAAAACAGGTACTAAATCCAGTTGTTCTCGTACTTAGAATGAAAATAAAAAGCCTTTGATGTTGATGTCAAATCCTAGCATGTTTATAGTGCATTTACTCTGAAACACCAAGATGTTTCATACAAATTCCCCCTCCCTCTCTCTTCACTGTAAGTAGAGGAGTTTTTGATTAGGAAATGGAGAGAACTTTAAAGCAAACACATTATTTCCCCTCCCTGACTTGTAACAGGTAGGTTTGGTTTTGTATTGTTTTATTTTTTTTTTTGAGTGGAAGTGGGAAATAAAGCCATCTAATTGAAATAAAAGCACAAGGTTGTAGCTTCATTTTTCTCATCATGAACGTGAAAAAACAACCTTGCTCTGTATCTGCAAAGAGATGACACTGTGAATGGGGTTATTTATTATACGGAAGCAGGCTGAGCATAAATCTGGGCCATAAATGCTTCAGAACGTTGGCCTTAGCCTGTTCTTGTATGTATAGAGTGGAGGAACCACTTCTGGTGGCTTTGTCAATATTTGCATGTGTGAAATGGGAAGTAGTTAATTACAGGACACCTCCTTGCTGAAGGTGTCCCTTCTGCCCTTTTCCAAAGGAGAAGGGAGTCATCTTCTCCAGATAGCAAGTGGATTGATTTGGTGATTTTTTTTTATTTTTTTTTTTCCAAATTCACAGCACCCGTTCGTCAAGATTGTGCTTCAAAGTGGGGGAAAGTGAACACTTGGGAAGGGGGACTAAAATTGTATTTAAGTTGCCATATTCACTCTCCAACTTTTGTTGGAAATAGCCTAGCAGCTTCTTGCAGTGCACACTTACATCTCAGGACATGAAGGATGTACCAGGCTGGTTTGTATAGATCTAGTTTAGCTGTAGTGTCTCAGTTTTCCTTCAGTCACTTGCTGTTGTGTCTGTTTTCCCTCTGCCTCACTGTAATTACATCTGATATGAAGAATGAAAAATGACACAAAGTCATCAAAAATAAACCAGGGCCCAGCTCCTGGAGGCAGCTGTATCCTGTTTGTGGCTTTGGGGGAAGTATTGAGATTTCATGGCTGATTTCTTCTGTTCTTTTCCTGCTTCTAGTCTGTCTTTTTCTCATTGTTTAGAAGTTGCATCCTACAGGATTAGGTGGGATTTTTCACTGGTGGGATAAGGAATGTTACTGAACTAAACTTCCAGTAGGATGAGCTGGGGTGGTACATGGCTCTTCTCTCTGGTTCCACGGGCATGGCTCTGGGACTGTGGTATGTGGATGCTTGAATGTTTATTAATATCCATATTGTTTTTGAATAAATACACTGGATTTATTTGAAGAAAACAATAGGGGCCTGCTTCTGCATCCTTGTTTTCTTTTTTAGAACTACAAAACCTATGAAACAAAGGAAGCCGTCCTGGGGTTGCAGCAACAAATTGTCTTACTTCCATTGATCTTTGTGTATCAAGGCAGGCTTGCTCTTTTCTTTAGCTTGATGATGTAAAGAGATAAAACTGCTCTATGATCTGAGGCCTTTGACAGTCTCTTTTTTTTCTTTTTAATCTTTGTGATGAGCAGCGAAGCTTTTTAAGAACAAAAAAGCAACATCTTCCAACTCATTGAGAAAAATGGCATGTTGTAGAATATCAAAGGCTGGCAGACAAGCCTGAGCTGAGCAACCTCCCCATGACAAAGCAAGCTGAGGAGCAGGGTGGCTAGAGGCAGTAGTGCGCTTTGTTGAGCTGGTAGCACTTAGCTTAAAATTCTAGGATCTACTCTTTGAAAAAAAGTATTTCAAATTTATCTCAGAAGAAAGTACTCGTTTTGAAGTGAACATAGATCAACAAAGCCTCAAATTATCTTCAGAGTTTCTTTCATTTTCCTGAACCACTGACTCCTCTAAAGCTTAGGGATGATGTTGAGATACAGAAGATGGCTGCTGTGATCTCATTTATCTTACTGTTTTTTTGTTTAAAAAATAAATAAATAAAGAATAAATGACAGAATTGTTACCTTTAGACATAATCCAACTGCTGCTCAGGCAGAGCCAGGTGGAACAAGCTGTCTGGGGCTGAGTCCACTTGAATTCTGAACATCTCTGCAGCCAGAGCTTCCTTAGTCCATACCACTGTTTGAAAAAAAATAAAACTTCTTCAGATTGAATGGCACGGTGTTTTTATCTTCTCTTTTCTTGTGGTTGGGCACCACTTGCAAGAGGACCTGGCACTGTCTTCTTTGCACTCTCCCTTCTGGTATTTGTGGACAATGATGCGCTTCCCCTGAGCTTCCTGTTCTCCAAGGTGAGCAGTCACAGCTCTCTGTCTCTCCTCATCTGAAAGATGCTCCAGTTCCTTCATCACCTTTGCTGGACTCACTGCATTATCATCTATCATGAGTACTCCTGCATCTTTCTTTGCTCCAAGGGCTCATTGCTGTCTTTGGGCCTGCTTGGTGTTCAGGAAAATAGTGAAGCATAATTTTTAAATGATTTATGAAGGTATCATTGCAAAGGTCTTTCAGTTTCTCTTTCATACCTGGAAATTAAAACCTGAAAATATGCCTCACTTGAATGGAATTTATTTCAGGCTTCTTTCATAATTGCTGAACTTGCTAAATTTTCCATTACATGTAGTTTTTTATACTTAAATATCTGGAGACCAGAACTAATGGGCAAAAGCTGAAATGAAACGTTCTTCAGTGCCTATACAATGTCTGTGCTGTGATGTTTCCAAATCCAGGTTGTTGTAGTTCTTTTCTGAAGACTGAAAAACAATGAAGCCTTCAGAGGATATTCCATTGCTTTTCTTTTGCTGTTGGTTTTTGTTTTACTAGTGAGGAAAAAAATCACTTGTCTATGAACAAGAAATAGCACTGATTGTAACCGTTATTAAAAGAGTGTACCAGCATGGAAAATACTCATCTGCTTTTTCAATAGGCTTGAAATTGAATTTTGAAAGAAATGCTATTGACCGTTGTAATGGTAGAGATTCTTCCCATTCATTATTCTTCTTGGTAGGAAAGAATGAAAAATAGAGTTTTCTGTTTAGAGACAAGGTCGATACACTGCTGTCACTCTTTTGAATGTTGCTGAGCAAATTGTCCCTCATGGAATCACAGAATGGCTTGGAAGGGAGCTCAAAGATCTTCAAGCTCCAACCCCCTGCCACAGGCAGGGCCACCAACCTACACATTTAATCCTAGATCAGAGCCCCATCCAACCTACCTTGAACATTTCCGGGGACGGGGCATCCACAGCCTCTCTGGGCAGCTGTTCCAGCACCTCACCACTCTCTCTGTAAAGAACTTCCCCCTGACATCCAGCCTAAATCTTCCCTCCTTCAAATTAAAGCCATTTTCCCTTGTCTTCTATTATCTACCATTGTAAAGAGCTGACTCTGCTCCTGTTTGTAGGCTCCCTTTAGGTACTGAAAGGCTGCAATGAGGTCACCCTGCAGCCTTCTCTTCTCCAGGCTGGACAAGCCCATCTCCCTCAGCCTGTCTTTGTAGGGGAGCTGCTCAACAGATGATCCAGTTTGTACACTTTTCATGGTGTGTTTTTATTTCCTATAAACATGGTACATCATTTCTCCACCTTCTCCCAAGTTCCTGGATGGGCAGAGCCTTTAGCTACGATATGTTTTACTCTGCCTTGGAGCTAAAACCCAGAGGCGATCCTAGAGAATCTGATCTTCCACCGCCTGTATTCTCTGACTTGCTTTTTAAACGGTGCAGGTGTCCTTCTTGTCACTTTATTTTACTTTACTTTGCTTTATCATCTCCTTTTCTGCAGTACCATTTCTGTTTCAACGCACCCATACTTAAATACATATGTTACATAGTTGTTTACTTTTAGTAAAATTCAGAGCTCCTGATGTATATATCCAACATACGAAGGCAAGAGTGACAAGGGAAGACTCATGAATTCTTTTAGTTGGTGAAGTTTTGGGCTGATGGTCAAACCCTGTGAAGCTGTGTCACGTCAGGGAGTTGCTTCTCTGCAGCTGAACTGATAAAACTAATTGTTCTGCATCTAATTTACAATCCCTGTCATTCTGAGAAATATCTGAAAGAACTGTTTGTTTTTCCTCTGTGTTGACATGTCTAAACTTTCTTGGTGATACAGGTGGAATGTGCAACAGTTCACTTGTTCTGTTAGTTGTGATACCTCCAACCCACATCTTCATAAATCACTGAAAGTGAAAGTGGGGAGCTGTGTTGTTTCCAGCTTAGAGTTTGACTTTTTACTATGCAGCCACTTCAGGTGCTTCAAAGCCCTACAAAGAGAAGTCTCCAAGAGTACTTTATCATGTGGGTTATTTTTGTTTTCCTGTCTTTTGTTTGAATTGCTTATAGAGCCTGTTAGTTGTCTGAGCAAAATGAGTAACATCATCTACGACTGTTGGGTTCCTTCTCAGAGGTGTTTGGGTGGACTGTGATGTAAGTTGTTAGGAGGAAAAAAAAAAAAGAAACGGGGTGCTGTGATCTTTATTCAAACACTGATAGACTAACTGTGGATTTTTTATTTGCAGACATCACAGGAGGCAAAAGAATCTGTGGAGAAGAACCACTTCTTTAATGTGCCCACCTTCCTTACAGTTTCTGGCCAGCTCCATTTGGAAGCGATGGCAGGGTGAGCAAAGCTACACGTTTTTGGTTTGATCTGTGATATCCTTTCATTTGGCAGTTGTGCCCCATTGTTACCCATTAGCCATCTGCAACGTGCTCCAGAAAGAAAATGAGCAGCAGTGCCTGGATGATGATGTGAAAGGTCAATGTATGTAGGTGAAAGCTGAACTTTTGATTCTGGTCTGTGAACTAGATTTTGTTGCTACGTATCTGGTGTGGATTGGGAATACTGGATGCATCCTTATAGGAATGACAAGAGGTTTGTTATCAACAGTTGTAATATCTTAAATGTCTGTTTGTTGTTCTTCACATTTACTGTGTCTCAGAAATTCTTTTTAACTTGAGCAATCGCATTACTTTCTTCTTTTTTTCTTTTCATTCCAAACTACATTTGTGTCTACAGTCTTTCTGTTGTGTTTCTTCCCCCTGCCAGTTTTCAATTCTCATGTTTCATGGCTTTCACACTTAATGCTATGTTCAGTCTGGCCACCAAAGTGATCACAGTTGAATAGTTAATACTGACTTTAAAAAAAAATAAATCCCTAAGCTTTCGATATTAATGTTTCACTGAGACTGCAAGGGGTGAAAGTGTCATAATCTGTCAGAGCCACATTTGCCTTTGATGAGGGAATGTTATGCTCATCTACACCAAATTCTCCAAGTAAATTAAAATAGTTTGTCAAGCTGAAGGAGTCAGAAAGCAAAGTTCTCTGAACACTTAAAATGTGGGTTATCCTCAGATGTGGTGCTTCAGCCAAGTTGCTGTCAGCCAGCTGAATTGCTGGTAAAGCCTATCACAGGTCACGTAGGTCTGTGTCTTTTTCTCAGTTGCTGAGGGGGTTTGACGTGCACTTACAGGGGATACAGAGCTCTTTCTGAAGTGATTAGTTACCTTTAGGTAACTAATTAGATGCAAGTCTCCTGAAAACGAGAGGAATAAAACCCTAGCTTTAGAAAACATGGTTAGAAGTTGAACAGCCTGCCTTTTCGTGTAGACTCTGAATATTTCTGACAGTCACAGTGTAAATTGTTGTCCACGCCATTCCAGTGTTGAGAACCAAATCATAAATGTTTAGCTGCTTTCTGTTTAATCAGTGTTGCAGAGTGCATTTGACTGCTGGTAAGTAAATAGTTGCAGTGAAGTTGTTAAAGTTTTGCCTGCAAATAAAAATAGCAATTTCTTCAGAAATCTGTTTTCTGCCTTGTTTATTCTGTCTGTGAGACTGTATCTCAGACCACCTAGACAGCTGGGATCTGCTAAAATACTCAAGCCAGAGGTTCTCAATGGACAGGATGTTTTTGACTTGCTCTCATGTGGTGCCCTGGCTGTTGTGACAGAAGCACAGGTCACTTGGCAGCCAAAGGCTGATGCGTCATCTCAGACATTATCTGAGGCAAGATAATGAGGTTTGTTTAACTGTAGAGTTTTGCATCCCTGAAAGAAGATGGGATGACATCCACTCGTACGTGTCAGACTTAATTGGCTTTCATGCCTTGTGACCTTTATTGAAAGACGTAATTCCACGAATCAAATAAGTGCAAAGAAAAGTATGGATTGTAATGATTAACTTGAAATACAATCTCGCCCTCGTACATCAGTCTGTTCCCTTTAAATAGTACACAGCCTGCCCTGGGATTGAGCAGAAGGCTCAATTGGGCAGATGCAGGACCTGTCTGCTAACTATTTTTTCCATTGCTGTCATTCACGTGCACCTTGCTCTGTAAAGATGGGCAAAAAAAATCAATGCTCTTCTGAATGCAGTACATTGTATTACAGCTTTGTGTTCTTGTTTGACAGTAGCATGCTGTTCTTACAGGCATTTAAATGGATTCAGTGCTGTCTAAATTTAGATAAGTGGTTTTTATTCGTGATGGGGCATAGCTGCTCTGTGAACCCACTCTTCGTATTTTTATTTTATTTAGTGGGTTTTTGAGGCCTAGAACTCAAGTGCTTTGCATCCCTTTAGCCTTCAAAAATAGATCATGCTCTTCTAGATGCAGAAATGTGATGCTTTGCTGTGGAATTGGGATATTAGCTATCTTAAAGCTGTGAAACCCTTCAGGTACTGAGAAGATCTTTATTTCTGGTTTCTTGTGTGAAGAAAGTTGGATATTAGTCTGTGATAGGATTCTTACACAATCAAATAATTTAAGTGCATAGTAGTAACGAAATCTGCTTGGCAAACAAACTTGTTCTCATGATGCTTTCAAAGCATGAAAACGCCAGTCCTTTTCCCAAAAGTGGAAATACACTGGTCCTCTTAGTAAACGAAGCAGTCAAAACAGTGTAGAATTATGTGTTTTAGATTTGATCCAATGAAATTTACCCTTTCTGTCAGTTGTGTTTTAACCGAATTTATTTTTCTTTGTGCCCCAAAAATGAACTATTCTTCAGTAATTCCCTTTTGCTTAAGTAAGTGTTGACTTGCATCAGTCATACCATTTTCAGGAACAACTGGTCCATGAGAATCTGCGAGAATCTCGTGAGACTGAGGTAGAAATATTTGGGAGACAGACCTTCCTCATCTGATCTTGGCTTGTTTCCTGCTCTGACTTGCTGTGGGAAATGGGAGTGCAGAGGCAGATCCTGTGCAAATCCATTACAAACCAGGGGTGGTGCAAGACAGGTATGAGAGGAATTTTTCCATGGGGTTTTCTAGGGGACAGAAAGTCAACTGGGCAGACAGTCATGTTTGCATGGAGCTTGCTTTTAGCTTTTCAGAGCTCATGAGCAGGCTGCAAGCTGTGGTTGGAAAAGTCTGGGCAGGGGCCGTATGGGAAGACTTACCAGATGTGTCTGGATCCAAGCCTTCTGCTGTCCTTGCTGAGAGTTCATTTGCAGTCTGTGGGGTGTCACTGTTAGGACATGATGTCTGTGTTGTCCAGAGACCTGGGCTCTATTTTACAGTGTGCTATTTCTGATGATAGAAGTAGAGCAGTTGAGCAGTTACGACTTAGGAGTTTTGAATCTTTTTCTCTGAAGAAAAAGAAGAAAAGAGGAGTTCCTGTATTTATTGACTATCTACTAAGCTGTGTGTGCTTGTTATTGAAAGCAAGGTCAGAGGAGTTCGTCTTGTCTCTCGGCGTGACACCAATGGCCTAGTTGGCACAACTTCTCATTTCATTTGCAGTGACGGCATCTAGGTTGACTGCTCAGCGTGTCTGAATCACTGTCAGCTGCTATAAATCTAGAGGCTGACTGAGGTCTCCAAAAAAAGTCTTCATTCAGTAATACAGCTCTGTAGCCTTCTAAATCCTAAATGAGTCAGTAAACCCTGTGGGTAGAGGTTTGTAGGACTGTGTGCGCCCCAATATCTGGTTTAAAATGTCACTGGTTTGCTGTGAGGTCACTGGTCCTTGTGGTATTTCCTCCAACCCTCCTGTGAGCGTAAAGGGCCTTTTGGGGATTTGAACTAGGCTGGAGGGTCTGTGAGAGTTGATGATTCAAAGTCATGCTGCAGACAGCCAAAACCAACTGTTGCCAAGAAGTAAAGCTCACTGGGCTTATTTACTCATTTATTTCTCCTTTCACCCATCTGAACTTCCCACAAGATCTACCTGCTCCTCTCTTTTCAGCCTTGTTGCTAATAGCTTACATCATTGTTTTGCTCTGGTTGTCCTGGCCTCTCATTCCATGTCAGGCACTGTCTGTTCTGCCTTTTGCATCATTAGTTTCACTGGAGCTGCTCTTCTAGATAACTCTGGAGCCTATCCCTTCCCTAAATCACAGAAGTTTTCTCTTTTCTCGCCCTCCTAGCTCTATTTCTTCCCTCTCTTCAGTCCCCCAGTAGGCTTCTCATCTCCTATTAATCTCATGTTTTCCTACAAATGAGCAAAAGGCTTAGGTGCAACCTTCTAGGAGCCTGCTAATACTTGCATAGAGGTTGTCAAGAAGACAGTCACAGAATCTTTGCAGTGGTGAGTGACAGAAAGGCAGGAGAAAATGGGCATAGGTAGCAGTGAGAACTTCTGAATATTTACAGGGGAAAAAGTTCATGAAGAGATCAGTCAAGCATCAGAGAAGATTACTGAGGGAGCTTGTGCGGTTTGTATCCTCAGAGATTTTCTAAGACAAGAGCTGGAGAAAGCCCAGATAACCCTGTTCTAATCTTCTTGCTGACCCTGCTTTGAGCAGCAGGTTGGGCTAGCAACCTCTCAAAATCCCTGCCAGCTTGAATTGTTCTGCCATTCTAAGTTTATTCTTGACTTCTTTCCCATTTCTGTCTTTGCTGATCTCATGCACAGAACCATCTGAATGAACCATCTCTAGTTCAGCATCTCTCCCTAGCACTTGTATTTTTCTACCTAAACTACATTCTCAGCCTTTTGCACTGACATCTGCCTGTTAATGTCTAATTATCAAACTTGGTTTAGTTGAAACATAATTGATTTTGCTCTCATCTCATTAAACACATCCTCTTGGTTTCTAAGAGATTGTGGATTTTACTGGTTTCCTTCTAATTCCAGATATTATCTGCAATCCTGCAACTGGCTTTTCTGGTTTTAGAGAGACTCTAAAAAAATCTCTGTCATTCAGACCATGTTAGCTGTGTCTACCCTGAGTTTGCAGAGAGCTAAAAGCGTGAATTTCCTGTTGGTTTCAGAAGAATGCACAGATTTCATTTCACTGCTTTTCAAAGCAGTGGTGGAAGAGAGCTGTCTGTTTGGATTGATGTTCAAGAAGATATTGCAGAGCTGCACAAAGATGCGTGTGAGGCCTTCTTCTGTAAAAGTGGCTTTTCTTCTGGCAGTCTGGCAAATGCAGCCTTAAAATTTGACTCTGAAATGACTTGATAATTATGGAAAAAATTGCATTGACCTCAAGCAAATATTTGCTCTACATTGTACTATTTCAAATACTTTCAGATGCAGCTGCAAGAATGATGTCCAGTTGTATAGCATTCCTGTTGCTAAAAATTAACAAATAGAAGTGTAATTATTTATATTGGATCCCTAAAAAAATCTCTGACATTTCTTGTGCAACAGTTGAGTCTGACTCACAAC